ATGACTCTTAAATCCCTCCAGGGATGGTGGCTCCTCCACTGCCCTGGGCAGCATGTTCCAGTGCCTGACAATCATTTTGGGGAAGAAATTCTCCCTAACATCCAGTCTAAACCTCCCCTGGTGCAACTTGAGGCCATCACCTCTTGTCCCATCACTCTTAACTTCACTGAGCAGACCTATCCCCACCTCTTTCCAACCTTGTTTCAGGGAGTGGTAAGGTCTCCCCTCAGTCTCCTTTTCTCTAGGCTGAACAGCCCCAGCTCCCTCAGCAGCTCCTGGTAAGACATCTGCTCCAACCTCCTCATCAGCTTCGTTGTCCTTCTTTGGACACGCTCTAGAAGCTCAATATCCTTTCGGAATGGAAAATCAAAAGTCATGGCAAACTGTATAACTGCTTACAGAAAAGAAAAAAATAAAACTATACTTGCTAAACAGAAGTCTCTTGCTAATCAAAATGACTGTCACATCCTCTGCAGAGGCTTCAGCATGGCCCAGTTTAAAATGAACACAGAGGGGTTGAGATGCTGGAGGTGATGGTGTCTGCTCTGACATCAGCACCTAAGGGACCTGGCCCGGGGGTTCCCGTGGTGTTGGGAAGCTGAGGCTGGTGCAGGAGGTGTCTGTGGGGTGGAGAGGGGCTCTGCTGGCCCCCAGAAGGGCTGAGCAGGGTGTTTGCAGGGGGAACTGCTGTTGGTGCCCCGGGCTGCCAGCACTGTGGTGCTGGATCATCTCCCCCTCCAGCAGCTGCTGTTGTCATTTCGAAACATGACATTGCTGGGCTGATTGGCCAAGTGGTATGTGGAGATACCTCAGGAACTGAGGCTGGTTTACCTGAGGTGCTCTGCCTGTGCCCCAGCACTGGACACAGGTCTGTTGATGCTGTCCATGGGCCTCTCCTCATCCCTGGGTCCTGCCAGTGAAAGGAGAAGTCTCACAGATGTCATTCTGCAGGGGCTTTGGGAGCAGGAATAGGGACACCTGTCTCATTTATTAGTGCAGTGCTGGCACAAAGATCTGTGTGCTGTGGAAGCAGAAGGAACATTAATCTTCAGCTGTGGAGAGAGCAGCTTTGGTCTCCTGCCCCACGCTGATCCCTCCAGCCCTGGAAGAGGAGGGGGTTCCTGTGGGCAGAGCTCTCCAGCCACTGATGTGGCTCCAGCAACCACTGGTGTGGCTCCCCCAGCCCCCGTCCCCCTCCCTCAAGGGAGACAGGGGCAGCTGAGGGCTGTTCTGGCCGGGGGGGGTCTCAGCGGGGAGGCATTTTGTTACTTCTGGAGACTGGCGCTTCAGATCCGGCTGTGATGAGCAAAGCTGCCAAGGAGTTCACAGTGTCTCTTCTGAAGCATTTAAGTATCACTGTGCTTAGTTCTCTGAGAAGGAAGCTGAATGTCTTCCTGTAAAAGCGGGCTGTGGTAGTACCAGCCTGTGGGAGCCTGCCAAGTGTGGGGGTAGCCAGGATGCTTTCTAGGGACCAGTGCTCCCTACCTGGCATGGCAGCCATGTCTCCTGGAGCATGAAATGTGGGGATCAAAAGTATCTCATTATCTGTGATTTTCTTCATAGGAACATTTTCTTTTTGTCAGGAGAGGCAGGTGATTTGAAGGTAGAAGATTATGGTGTGGGTTACACTATCTTAACAAATACTAATCAGGACAGACGGTTTCCTTGGGAATTAAGTATGCACCAAGGAGGCCAAGGTCTGGTCCTTGGAGGCTTCAGGTGACTCTGCAGCCACCAGGACCATGTTGTGCACAGCTCTGATGGCCTCGGGGTGCTCCTCAGGGCTGAAGCCTGCTTGTGTTACTCCTGCTTTGCTTTTTGTCCTCTGCGTGCTTGATAATAGGTGAGTTCTATCTTCAGTAACCTTGCAATACTTTTATGCCATCTCTTTTTGCAGATATCTTCTCTGGAGAAATCAAGTGTTTCATCCCCTCTGAGCTGATTGATTTAAGCTGCTTCCTGAGCTCACTAGCTGGAGATCAGGTTTCGAGGCAGAGGTTGTGGTCTCAGTCCTGGGTGCAGGCAGCTGCCTACTTAGCTGCCCACAGAGGCTTTGCATGCCACGTGGAACATACCTGCCTGCTTCACCTCTGTAACCTCATCCTCTGCTTCCTTCTTAGGGTGACTGGAAGGTGAGAGCCAAGGATGGTGACAGATGGTGATGAGAATCAGGAAAATCCCCAGGGGTTTGGGTGATGGCATGGTGGCTGCAGTCAGTAGGTGAGCAGTGGAGTGGCTCTTGGGGACCATCCCCTGGATGCTGGGGTAAAGGCTGCCCCACAGGACAGCCAGTGCTGGTGCAGCCCCAGGGATATTTGGGAAACCCATAGTCAGCTGCTTCTTTTTATTTCAATCCAGCAAAGGTGAAGTTCCCTGTTCCCCAGGGCACCATCCCCTCCTGGCTCAGAGATGCTATCTGGCCTCTCTGCCCCCAGCTGCCACACATGGAAACAAGGCATGGTCAGTTTAGAAACATATTCAAGGCTATTTAGAAAAAAGGAAATAAATGCAGTGTACAAGCCTGCATGTTTACAGATTAAAGTGCTCAAAGCCTTTTAGCAGATGGGTTGCTTTCAAGTTGCTGTGCAGGCCTTGTTATCTGTAAAAGTGCAGCTCGATGCCTGTGGGTTGAGGTTGGGTTCAGCCCTGATGGAGATGCTGGCAGTGAAATGGGGCTGTGCAGGAGGAGATGTGACTTGTACCTGAAATGAGCAGTTGTGCTCCAAGCTAAACGTGGGTCCTGTACCTCAGTGTGAGTCACTTTGGCCAGGCATGACCCGTCCAACTCCATTGATGGGAAGCCCGTTATTTTTAATACTGTGTTTGAAAACATCACGTGCAGGTGATGCCGTTTGAAAGGCAGCAGTTACTACTGATAATGTCAACAATGACAGCACTTGAAATGACTGGACAGGATTCTGTGACATTCAAGTTTCTTGTTCAGCTCATGGCTCAGCATCTTCTTGAGTGTTATGGCCAGATGGATTTTTAGATACAGCCTGTAAATGTGCCAAACCACCAGCTGCCTTCCCCAGAGGGCAACAAGGTGTGGGACCAAAAGTGCTCTGCTCTGGGGATTCCCAGCTGGTGGCTGGTCAGGCTGGGATGAGCTGGAGTGCAAATCCCAGTTGGGGATTCTCTGAAGGCTGGTCTGGCTGAGTCCCAGTGTTTGCAAATCCAGCACATTGTGCTTTAGCAGACACACTTCTGGACCAGGAAGCTAAATCTCAGCGTAGGTCCCAAGGCACACATGGACACTGAGAGGGCAGGCAGGGAGCTGATGGCACGAGGAGGCTGTGCTGGCCCTCGGGGCACAGTGTGCAGAGAGCAGCCTCCAGCCATGCCCTTCCCTCTGGTGGGTTCCTCTGCTGCAGCTGCTGGAGTAGTTTTAACATGGAAAATATAGCCAAATTTAAGAGTGAAGGAGGTGGAAATGGTGTGCGTTCAGTTATGTTAGACTGATGGAAAACAGAGGGAGTGCAAGGAATATGCATCGTATTCTACTGGCGTGGCTTAATGAATTAACCTCACTTGAGTAGGCAGGTGCAGACTGCAGAGGCCATGCAGGTAAAGCAGCCACTGTACTTTTTCCTGGTCTGTCTTAGGAGTTGAAGCAGTTCAAGGGGGTAGCAGTTGTGCCTTCCCTCCTTTTGGGAGGTGTGTGCTGGCTGTTGCTGAGATAGAAGCTTTCTTTTAGGGTATGAGAAGTGATTGACTTTCCCCTGCCCTTGGTTGTCTGGGTGTGTTGTGAAATCTCAGCTGTTTGGTGGCATGAACTGACAAACACACACTGGCCTTGCAGAACTGTAGTTCCTCCTCTGCAGAGATATTTGCGTGTGGCAGGAGCTCAATAGACTCTCCATTCCCTTAAAGAACCCTCCTGACACAAAAGGAAAATTCTTCCTGTAACCACGGAGAGATACCAAGATTGTTTTTTTCTCCCCCCTGAGATCCACCGTGCTCCTCTGGGAGCAGCTCTGACCTTGGCCTTCAAGCCAGAATCTCTGCTGGAATCTCTTATGTTAGACTGATGGAAAACAGAGGGAGTGCAAGGAATATGCATCGTATTCTACTGGCGTGGCTTAATGAATTAACCTCACTTGAGTAGGCAGGTGCAGACTGCAGAGGCCATGCAGGTAAAGCAGCCACTGTACTTTTTCCTGGTCTGTCTTAGGAGTTGAAGCAGTTCAAGGGGGTAGCAGTTGTGCCTTCCCTCCTTTTGGGAGGTGTGTGCTGGCTGTTGCTGAGATAGAAGCTTTCTTTTAGGGTATGAGAAGTGATTGACTTTCCCCTGCCCTTGGTTGTCTGGGTGTGTTGTGAAATCTCAGCTGTTTGGTGGCATGAACTGACAAACACACACTGGCCTTGCAGAACTGTAGTTCCTCCTCTGCAGAGATATTTGCGTGTGGCAGGAGCTCAATAGACTCTCCATTCCCTTAAAGAACCCTCCTGACACAAAAGGAAAATTCTTCCTGTAACCACGGAGAGATACCAAGATTGTTTTTTTCTCCCCCCTGAGATCCACCGTGCTCCTCTGGGAGCAGCTCTGACCTTGGCCTTCAAGCCAGAATCTCTGCTGGAATCTCTTCCCGCCGTTCCTGCTCCTAGTTGTGTCTGCTCCCACTGGGTATCTCCCTGCTGCCTCAGCCAGAGTGGCACTTGCCATATATTGTGCAAACTGTGGACACCTATTCTGGAGCTCTCTGCAGCACTCCTGGGGCTGGTTTTTGTTCCCATAGCTCTGTGGGGTTGGTGCCATCAGCTGGGACCAGCAGAGTCTGGCCCCTGGGTCAGGGGAGGGCAGGGGAGCAGGTCCTGCGGATCAGTTGCTGATTCCTCTTCTTGCTGCTTCAAAAGATGAGAAATCACTCAAAATGGCTCTCACCTTAAAAGCAGAGGATAAAATTGCTGCTCTACTTATTAACCTACAATTTAGGGAGGATCTGCATAGCTCTCACGTCATCTCCCAACAGAAGATAACAGTGTTCTTGAAGGGCACAATGGCAGCAAGGTCAGAGGAGAGGGATAAGACTTTTCGGGCCAAGAACTGTCTCCTCTCATGCTTTTCTCTTGAGGTGTGAGGGTCTGAGAAAAGAGGCTTGGCACCACATCAGTGCTCCATCAACACTTTGGTTGAAGGGAAGCATCCCAGCTAGCTTTTCACAGAGCAACAGCAACAGTTCCTCTGGTCCTGTCTGCACCAAAGGCATCTTCCAGCCTATGGTGTGCTTTAAACCAGTCAAATAGTGGTTCCTCATCTGTTCTTCAGAAAACACTTATTTCCATTTAAAACCTCTCTCTTGTCAGTTTAGTTTGTTTCTCTTGGGAAACAGAACAAAAAGGAAGGAATAATCTGGACTCTTATTACCAGAATTAAAATTTCTGAGCAGATCTAATTTTGACCAAAAAGTTGTGCTGTTAGGAGCTAATTGCCCTCTCCAGTGTTTCAACAAAAAGCCAGTTTTAGCAAATAACTTTAAGTACTGTTGCTCCCCATACTGCCTGGATAGGTGTTGACTTGTCATTTCGAGGAGCAGCTCTCCTGCTGTGCCTCCCAAACTGTGGCTTCTCCATAGGTCTGATCAAGTGTGGGCAGTGTGTGTCAGGGGAGATGGCAGGAAGGGCACCATCCGGGAGGAGAGGGTTTGGGTGGAGGGAGGATGGAGGGAAGCATTAAGGATATGTGGTTGGAGAGCAGGGCTGGCTCTTGGAGCACCTTGGTGCAGTGGTTGTCCAAGTCTTCCCCCACAGCCCTGGCTCATGGGACCTGCCTCAAGTTGTGCCTGCCTCTAGGAGGTTTAGTTTGGATATTGGGAGAAATTTCTTCCTTGAAAGGGTTGTCAGGCCCTGGAACAGGCATCCAGTGCAGTGGTGGAGTCACCATCCCTGGACAGATTTACCAGATGTGTGGATGTGGTGCTGAGGGTTTAGGGGGACTTGGTACTGTTAGGTTTATGGTTGGACTTGATGATCTGAAATTCATTATGTGATTCTCCTGTTTTATGACTTTGTCCCACATTTGCAGCACCCTGTGAGCTGTGGGCTCAGCTGGCCAGGAGTGATCAGAGGGGTGGGGATGAGTGAGGAGCAGGGGTGAAGGTGAGGAGCTCTGCCCCTTGGCACCACTGCTGTCCTCTCCTCGTGCTTGGCACCTGTCTGTGAAACCCAAGATGGGTTGTTCAGAGTCCTGAGCTGGCAAGTGGAACACTCCATGATCCACACTGGTCTGCTTCCAGCATTTAATAATAATTATTACGTGGCAGACTCTGCAACTCTTATTTTTCACTCTGAGGTTTGTTCTTGCCCTTCGGTGGTTGACAGCACCGAGCTCAGCCTGTGGGGCCATCCCAGGGCTGGGACCTTGGTGTCAGTGTCCCCATGTGCCCTGGGTGACTGAGTGACATGGAGGCAGTGCCTTTAACCATGGGATGGACATAAGCAGGAATCTGCTGGGGCTGCAAATCACTGCAAATGCTTTATGTTTTCACCAGAGGCTTCTTACTGGTTTTAATAGTCATGGAGATGAGCAAGGCATCCTGGATGAAGGAAGTTCAGTCCAGCTGCTGCTGGTATTGAAGAGAAAAGGGATAGAGAAGAAGCAAGACAAACAAACCAACAACCCCCTCCCCCCCCAAAAAAAAAAGAAAAAAAAAAGAAAAAAAAAAAAAAAAAAAAAAAGAAAAAAAAAAAAAAAAAAAAAAAGAAAAAAAAAAAAAAAAAAAAAAAGAAAAAAAAAAAAAAAAAAAAAAAGAAAAAAAAAAAAAAAAAAAAAAAGAAAAAAAAAAAAAAAAAAAAAAAGAAAAAAAAAAAAAAAAAAAAAAAGAAAAAAAAAAAAGGAAAAAAAAAAAGGAAAGAAAAAAACCCAAACAACAAGAAGAAAAGAATAGCTTAAACAAGCTTGATAGCTTAGGATGAAAGAAGTTATACAAATTAAGAATCAAAGGAATAAATTCATTTCTAGTGAAGTTACAATAATGACTTGAATGGAGTAGGATCATGTAGCTCAGTGAATGTGCAGAGCTCTTGTTTGATGTACAACCTCACTACTGAAGCGAGAATTACAGGAACATTGCAGCAGCCAGTCCCAGTTATCTTCTCTTCCTGTGCTGTCACCGTGCCTGTGCTTTGTCACACATTGTCACACATTGTACCTGGGGGCAATGTGAGGAGGGGCAACCCTGCATGGCCTTCTGCATGGTCAGAGTGAGGTTTGGCTGAGTTGTTGCTTGCCTCCTTTCTGATCATGCTTGTCTTGTCCCACCACCAGAATTCTGGGTTTGGCCATGGATGTTCTCCCAGCACCGTGGGCTGTGCTCACCCACAGCTGGTCCTGTCCTGATTTGCTGACCCTTTCTCTTGTTCTCTTTCTGGTTTATGCTGCAGGTTGGAGACTGGCCGTGAACATGTGTTGCCCATTGACTATTATTTTCCACCTCAGAAGACTTGCCTGATCTGTGGAGATGAAGCATCTGGGTGCCACTATGGAGCCCTCACTTGTGGTAGCTGCAAAGTCTTCTTCAAACGGGCAGCAGAAGGTAAGGGATGCAGAGAGTGGAGGGAAGGTCACTCCCACCTCCAAGCATTGGCTTTCTCTACCAAAGTAGCTTAAAAGTCAACTGCTATGAACACAAGGTCTCTCATCAGCAGTCAAGTCATTACATATAAGTGCTGGGGGCATGTGGTTCATCATGGAATCTTGTCTTCCTGTTGAAAGAGGCTGCACAGCCTTGCTCTGGGGAGTCTGTCAAGCCAAGGGTACTGAGCCAGGAGTGGTGGGGACAAAGTGTGGTGGGTTTATGAGGCCTCTTAAATGAGTAAAGGAGAAAATTCAAGGATAATCTGTTTGTCCTGTGTTTCTCATTCTACATTACAGATTTTTGTCAAAAAGTAGCCAAACCAGTTTGCCAAAACACAATCCTTTTCAATGCCTGATTATCTAAGTGACCTAGGGAGATGAGGAGCAGTCAGTTCCTGCTTATCCACTTGACTCTTCAAGGTGCTTTAAGTTCCCATCAACCCTTCTGTGACCTCAGACTCACAACTCCAAGTTTAGGGGATATTTTTCCTGTCTAGCATCCCTTTCAGAGGGTCATTTCTCTCAATACCTGCAAATTGGCAGAACCACCTGTCCATCGAGAGCCATGCTCTGGCCTTGGTGTTCATGATCCTTCTCCTCAATACCTGAGAAAGCGACTTCTCCTTCACGTCCAGCTCTGTAGTACCAGGATCTCCAGAGAGAAGTGTGAGCCCAGATGTTCTCTCCCAACTGTAAGGTCTTTGCACCATCTTTCCTTGGCAATTACCATGTACAAGGACATAGCCCAGCTCTTTCCTTGGGCTGCAGGTCAGCAATGTCCAGTTTCTCACTGCAGATACAAGCTGTGATTCCTTGGCAACAGAGTGGGACCCTTGCTATCACATTCCTCCCCTGCACCTTCCATCACCCCTCTGTCAAGTGGAGGTCCCAGCCTGGTGGGTGCTCACTGCCCTGCTCAGAGCAGAGGTTCTGTATTCATTCCAGCATAAAGCTGCATGGGTTTGGAGTCACGTTTTCCCTCATTCATTATCCGTGCCAAGAGTGAACTTGGCAGCTGTGGTTTACTGCTGTGCCACAGAGGACAACATCATCTTGTTGCCATAATAGGACTGTCAAATAACATTAATAGATAATAAGTTGGGCATATTTTCCCCAAGTAAATGATTTACAGATATGTCTCTGCGACGCACCAGATCTGTGTAAGGCCAAATGGATTGGCATGTGCAGCCAGAGTAAATAACAGATGCTTGTTTAAGTCAGCAAGTTAATGTTGATTTATAGTAAGTGGAGTCTTGGCTTGCTCTGTCAGATGAAGTGCTGGTGGCAGCTGGAAGGTCCCAGAGTGATTTTCTTGCTGTTACACTGGGGTGGGCTCCATCCAGCTAAGTGCGGGGATGGGGCTGCAGGATGCTGGGGAGAGTGGGGGGCAGCTGGGGCTGCTTGCATGGCCCTTCATCGTATGCTGTGCTGGTGTTCCCTCTCCTGACTGTGTTGTGTCATTAATTTAAATTATATTTATGCCTCCTCTAAGTTTTTAAGCCTTGGGGTATCAGAGAAAGTGAGAAGTGTTTGGTTGTGTTGGGGTCAGGCAGCAGCAGCCCTTTGTCTTTCCCCTGGACAAGACTGTGGAGTGAAGTGCAGTGAGGAGCAGCAGAGGTGAGGGGACCTGCCTGAGTGGGAGGTTGCATCCCATCTTACCCTGAGGTACATGGACAGAGTCTTTATTTTGGAGAAGTGACAATAAAGCAGACTCCTTTAAAATATTGCATGCAGGGTACTGGGATGTGATGATTTTTATCCTAACTCTTGGCGATTTTCCAGCCTGACCTTTCCTTCTTGAAGTTGAGGACCAGCATTGAAAGCTGATATTTCAGTGTGGTCTCATGTTTTAAAGTCCATAAAATGCATCTCTGAAAGCCTGCAGTCACCTTTGGAGGCTTTTTACAACAGCAGATCAACAAGCTTCCCTGATGGGAAGATAAACCTTTGCTTCTTCCTCTGTTACGTTCCTGTTCCTGGTGTGAACCAGCAGCCTGGGATGGGCAGGAGAAGCAATGGGCTGGAAGCTGAGAGAAGCACCAACACATCTAGGGGGAAGTGGAGGATAGATACACATGTAGCTTTTCTTTTATCATATTCTTTGCCCAGTACAATGCTGAATTTATTTGGCAGTAATTCAGGGATATTTAAGGACGTTTTGCAGGCCTGCACTGGCTTCTAAGGGTTTAGAAAGGGAAAAAATTTATGTTATGATATTGACTCCTCTTCCCTTTTGAAACACACTGAGGGATTCCTGTGGTTTAATTCCTGCTTTGCTAAAATGTTTGACAGCTTGGGTTTTTTTTAGCAAAGCTCCATCAATTCTTCTAAAAGATGCTGGAAGAGTTAACAGAAAAAGCATGAATATTTTCCTGATCTCTTTCTGTCAAGTCTCTCGATTTATAGACTCTCCAGGTTATATATAGGCCAGCTCTAAAACACACCCTGCAGATTCTTCAGCTCTGATGTGGACTTCCTCACTTGCAGATGAGCACCCTCAACTCAAACCTGGCTTTAGTCTCTGCCTTTCTGTCCCCTGCTCTGGGGTCCCTGCTCTGGGGATGCAGTGGGCTGGGGTTTGCTCCCTGCCCTGCTGCTCCTCTGCTGCCAGGCAAGACTGCAGCCTGGGGAGGAGGACTCCTCCTCCTTCTGATTCCTCTTTTTCCTGCAATAACAAAGATTTGGTAAAAAAGGAAAAAAAAAAGAAAAAATAAAAGAAAAAATAGTGCATCCACGTCCGCAGATATTTGGGGTTTGATGACATGATTAGGCAGGGCATTGCCTCACATGGTCAGGGCAGGTCAGATGAGTTGCAAACATTTGGGTTTGGTCCTCATGGTACCACCCTTGTGCCTGAAACAGAAAAACGCTTCAAATGCAACACATGTCCATGTCAGTCCAGGAGCTCCTGTGGTCCCATCCAGGGTGGGAGTCACTTCTATGTTCCCTGCATCCATCCCCAAGAAATAATAGACCTTCCTGGTCCCTCCAAGATTGCATGACATCTACTGGCCAAGACCTTCCTCATCCCTCCAAGATTGCATGAGATTTACTGGCCAAGGACCTTTCCTGCGCCTCCAAGATTGGAGGCCAGGCCATGTTGGCCAGCTCAGGGCTGCTCTGTGCAGTGTTCTGGCAGCGCTGGGGTGCCTCGGGCTGTGCTCCTGGTGGGACTGTCTTTAAATAGCCAAGAGCTAAATGAAAAAAATAACACGGTATTTGGCAATTTTCCTGGGGAGCTGAGAGCCAGGCTGCTGTGCTGCCTGCTCCCACTTCCCCCAGTGACTCTCATATGAATTATTGTTCTATGTCCCAACCTGCTGAGGATTAGCCTTGCACCAGAGAAATGTTTCTCAACAGTTTATTGCTGGTTTTCAAGATAACAACAAGTTAAAGTGGATTGTTTTCAAAGACCATCACCATGTTTTGAATTTCTTTCTCCTCCTTCTCGTGGCTGATCTGACAGTATCCAAAGAGTCAGCTCTGCAGAAGACTCAGGTGCTGCTGCAGCACCATGATGCTCCTGCTGGCATGGTGGGTTTCTCACTACCCTTTGGGTATTATTTGCCTTAAAATTCAGCTGGAAGAGCAGAAAGTGGAATACCCAGGCCTTTGAAAGATCAGGCCCTTCTTTAGTCTTCTGGTAAATACAGGCAACTGTTAAGAAAACAGCTTTGCAAAGATAGTTTATCAATCGTGGCTTAGTGTTGGCTCCTGAGAGCTTCATAGCTGTGCCTTCTGTGGTTATTTCTAGTGGGATAATTTCTAAAGTGGGAACTTCAGAGTGGTCCCATCACCAAACCCAGCCTCAGATCTTGCCATTGTCCAGCTGGTGACAGTGATGGAGACCAGAGTCTTTACAGAAGATCACTAAAGACCCGGTGTTACATTAGACCCTGGGGGATTATCTGTCTCAGAAAGCTTGGTCTTACCCCCATCTGTTAGAATTTGCTTTATACCCTGAAATACAGGGATGTATCTGTCTTCCAAAAGGCATTTAATGGGTTTGCACATTCACCATCACAAATCTTAGCCCAGGTGTTGGCATAGGTCACTTTCTGGAAAGAAAGCTACTGTAGGTACAATTCATGTGGCAACAGGCTCTTAATTAACTAACTTCTCTGGATTGAGCAACAGATCTTTCTCCATAGATCTTTATATTTAGTCAAGACTGGAGAACTGCTCTTCCCATAGTGCTTATTACAGGTCAGGAGAAGGGGTGCCTGACCATGGCAGAAGCATCTTTCTGCCTGGCTGAAGTGCCACCAGTAGGAGGCCAAGCTGGGGGGTCCCAGCACTGGGGGTGCCTCCACCAGGTGCCTGCTTTGGTGGCGTGGGGGTCCCCAGTCAGTGTGTCCCAGCTGTGATGGGTCCCCACTGTTGTTGGGGTGAGCACAGGTAGGTCAGGACAAGTGGCTTTGCTGGGGCAGTGACACAGTGTGGTCCCTCCCCCAGGTCATGGTTTCATTTCACAAACCACATCCACTGGGTTTCTCCAGTAGAATCCTAGAATCCTAGGGGTTGGAAGGGACCTCAAAAGATCATCTAGTCCAACCCCCCCTGCCAGAGCAGGGTCACCTAGAGCACATCACACAGGAACGCATCCAGGGGGGTTTGAATGTCTCCAGTGAAGGAGACCCCACAACCTCCCTGGGCAGCCTGTCCCAGGGCTCTGTCACTCTCCCAGTAAAATAATTTTTTCGGATATTCACCTTGAACCTCCTGTGCTCCAATTTGCACCCATTACCCCTTGTCCTATCACTGGTCATCACTGAGAAAAGCCTAACTCCGTCCCCCTGACACTCACCCCTTACATATTTGTAAACATTGATGAGGTCACCCCTCAGTCTCCTTTTCTCCAAGCTAAAGAGACCCAGCTCCCTCAGCCTTTCCTCATCAGGGAGATGTTCCACTCCCTTCATCATCTTCGTAGCTCTGCCATGGACTCTTTCAAGCAGTTCCCTCTCCTTCTTGAACTGAGGGGCCCAGAACTGGACACAATACTCCAGATGTGGCCTCACCAAGGCAGAATAGAGGGGGAGGAGAACCTCTCTTGACCGACTAACCACACCCTTTCTAATGCACCCCAGATGCCATTGGCCTTCTTGGCCACAGGTTCACATTGCTGGCTCACGGTCATCCTCCTGCCCACCAGGACTCCCAGGTCCCTTTCTCCTACACTGCTCTCCAGCAGCTCAGCCCCCAACCTGTACTGGTACCTGGTGTTTCTCTTCCCCAAATGCAAAACTCTACACTTGCCCAGTAATTAGAAGGGGAATTTCTATGTCCATAGGGATTAATGAGGGCAAGATGAGCAAGCATCTTATTCTCATGCTGAGCAGGATAAGGCTCATGAGCATCCGTTGCATGACCATTTGTTTCCCTTTTTGTTAATGGTTCACAGCTTGAGAGAAACAGAGCCAGATTGAGCATGGACACTTAACAGAAAATGGGCTCCTGCCCCAAAGAGTTTATTTTGTGAACCAGGAAGAAGGCCCTCACTATTTCAGCAAAATCATTGTACCATGGCCATGGGGTGAGGTGTTGACTGCAACTCAAAAGCTTGTATTTATCCAGCCCAGGGCCAGGGGGGTGATGTTGTTGTAGAGACTCCTCTAATGAGCCCTTGTTGTGCACAGTGACCCATGGAGGCACCTGCCAGGTCTTGGCAGGTGGGAGATGGCTTCCCCTCTGTGTCCCTTCCCAGAAGTGCCAGCACTGATGGGAGGCAGCACTCCTGCTCAGGCCAGGCTTGAAGCCAGCTCCCAAGGCTCCTCTGTCCCCCTCTTCCCCCTGTGGTTGCTGGAGGGGTAGAACAGGGTGGGGGACAGGCCCATCTGTAGGGACCCATCTGGAGCTTGGGGGAGGGAAGGGGCTGGGGCACAATGGATGTACCTGCTCTGGGCAGGGCATGTGAATGGGGCTGTGCCCAACCCCAGAACATCCTTGGGGGCTCGGGCAGTGATTGTGCTGCCTTCCCTTCAGCTGTTCACAGGGGAGGCTGGAGCTTTTGCAAGATGTTGAGGAATTATTGTTTCACAAATACTGTAGTTTAGGGTAGGAAGGTGGGATAGTGAAGTTGCTGGGGCTGACAGGCCAGGGGAGGGTGGGGGGTGGTGTGATGCTCCTGGGCAGCCCCATCGCCTCAGCCAGGGACTGGGATCGTCCCATGGGCTGGGCTGGAGCTGCCCCAGCCCCAGATAATTTATACTTGTGGTGGTTTTTATGGGCTCTGGAGCATTCCAGTGCCAGATGTTGCCATGAGACAGGGATCCTGCAGTACAGGTGGAGGGGAAGGAGAGCAAAATCCCCTTCAGCTCTCTGTGCCTGTGCCTGAGGAACTAGGGCGTCCGTTCGTGTCTGATGGATGCACCTAAAGAGGTCGAGTGGAGAGAGTAGGGCCTCAACACCATTTCCTATAGCGCAAAAATAACTCCAAGTAACCCAGTTTCAGCTGAAGTTGTTTATTTCTCATCCTCCTCAATGAACTGTTGAAAGGGAGGATGAAGCTTGTGTTCCCTGGGATTAGTGTCATTGTTGCTTCTGAGGCTTGTCGAAGTGTCCTTAGCAGTGGTAATGAGCAAGGGGAGGGGGGTGAGAAGAGGTGCTGAAGAGAATGGTGTTAAAAGTGTTGAGGGAGGTACAGTGTGTGCAGGTGAGGCACTCCCACCCCAGTATGTCTCCAGTCTTAGCAGCCAAGGCACTGGGGGTGAGGCAATGATCAGCTTTTCATGGGAATGATTCTAAGAAGTTCAAATGTCTGGTGTTTTTGCAGCCCTCTGGCGCAGCCCCAAGCCCACGCAGGGTGAGGAGGTGTTGATGATACCTCACACCAGCTTTTCTGCACCCCTGTGATGAGAGGCTACAGGTGGGGCTTTCCTAGTGGAGAGACCTTTGCTGGGCTCGGGGAGCCAAGGAGCTAGGCAGGCACTGGGGAAGTAACAGATGGTGCCAGTGAAGTCTGTGATACTGGGCTGCTAAAAATTAGCTGTTTTTTCTGATTCTGATAGCAGGACTTGTGGGCATGTGTGTGAGAGGGGGGAGTTGTTACATCAGTGCACCAAACTCTGTGCCTTACTTGTCAAAACTGGTATATGAAGCATTAGATTTAACCTCATCCTCTTAATGGGTCTCTGGGAGACCCTAAGGGCTTCTCCTATAAGGGTGTTTAGCAAGCAAACACTTGCAGGATGATAAATAAAAGTTAAGCTGGATATCGACTGATTTCCCATGTATGCAGGGTCTGAGACACACAGCTCTGTTATTTATGGAGGCTGGTTTAGTTTGAAACAGTGTAAAGAACATCAGATAAATTCTGATCCAGTAAACATGTTCAGACTTGACAAGAAAACAAATGAGGAGTCAGGAAGGAAAGTTCATTCTTGTCATGTCTAGCAAATGAGGCAATGAAGAAAAAAAGAGAGCTGAAACCTGGAGCTCTAAGGGCTGCTCTCCAGACAAGTGGAAAGGTGAGTCTAAGTTACGGGTTAGTCTGACAATAAATAACTTCTGCGTTTTCTGCAAGCCCCCTAACCTTGCTGCTGTGCCAGGTGTCCCATACAGGGAAGCACTGGTCCCACTTTCCTCCTGGCTGTGGGTGCAACAAGGGGACAGGGTGGCTGGTACCAGCCTGGCAGGAGACCCATGGCAGCAGAATTACCCCTGAAGTCAGTTCCCCAACCCTGGCATGTGTAACCTGCCCACTACAAACCCAGCTAGGGTCAACGGGTGACACAAAAAATCCTTCAGCCCCCAAAAGTGCTGTTAAGAGGGTTGTGGTTGTAGAAGGAAGGGCACTGTCTGAGGGCTGTACTCAGCGGACTGCAGGTAAGTGTGGTGGCAGGAAGATCAGGTGTTCATATAGAGGAACAGCCCATCACAGCAAAAAGCCAAGTAATTGATATGGGACGTTTAAAAAACAAAAATCAAATTATCCATGTTTCATTGCTTTTTAATTGCTGTTTGTTGACTACCTCTGCTGTGCTGCACAAAGCAGAGTGATTTTTCTCCTTGAAGATCTTGGTCTAAGATCCTCTGCCACGTGCCTGTGAAAACAGGAGGAGCAGCAGGGCCAGCAGTGGGGACAGGGGCTGTGGCAGGGGCTGTGGCTGCACTTCAGGCAGCTGGTTCCTGGGAAGCCCCTGCAGCTGGCACTGAACCACTCCTGTGGCAGCAGGGGAAGACCTGTGCTGTTTTCCCAAAAGATACCAATTTCCAACTTAAGTTTTCCGCTGAGGGAAGAACTTGGAAATCTACGCTGATGAGGTCTTGTCTTTCCTCCTCTCCCCACGGTGCTGGTGACCCCAACAGGAGGTTGTAGAGACACAAGTGCCGGTCTCTTCTCCCAAATAACAAGTGATGAGAGGAAACAGCCTCAAGTTGCACCAGGGGAGGTTTAGGCTGGATATTGGGAACAATTTCTGCACAGAAAGAGTTTTCAAGCACTGGAAAATGTTGCCTAGGGAAGTGATGGAGCCACCATCCCTGGATGTGTTTGAAAGGTGTTGCTGAGGGACATGGTTTATGGCAGAGTTAGGGTAGTGGTTGGACTCGATGATCTTAAAGGTCTTTTCTAACCTAAACAATTCTGTGGTTCTGTGATTCTAAAGCCTTGAGTCTGTTTCTCCTTGTCACCCTGGTCTGGTCAGTGCCCACCACCCATCTGCTGTTTCCTCCCATGCTTGCAGGTAAACAGAAGTACCTGTGTGCCAGCCGGAACGACTGCACCATCGACAAGTTCAGAAGGAAAAACTGCCCATCCTGCCGCCTGCGGAAGTGCTACGAGGCTGGGATGACCCTTGGAGGTAGTGCCTGATAATGTCCCCTGGGTCCTTGCAATGGGCTAGGGCAGCCAGGCTGATCTGGCAAGTGATGAATGCACTTGGCATGAAATAGTCAGGAAATGTCTGAAAAAATGAGGCTGGCAGTGGTTAATGAGTTGTGGGAAACATTTGCAGGTTGCTAATACCAAAATGGTGAATTTCATTAAACTTTTGTTTGAGTTGCAGGAAAAAACATTCTTTTCCTTAATTAAAAACCTTGCTAATCTGAAAAAATGCAAACAGCTGGGTAAACTGGATTCTTACCCACAGCAAAGCCTTTGAACACTTTGAACACAACGGGCACTCCCGTTTTTAGATGGTTTTTCCTAGGCAGAACAAGGCGTTTTTCTTTATAAAATTACAGCCCCTGTATTCTCCTTTGCTGGATGGAAGTTGCTCCTGTATCACTGGTAAAGTTCCTTATCACTGTTTGTTCCAAAATCTGTATCTCTACCAAAACCAGGTGGGATGTGGGCAGGGGTGAAGGCACCGCATGATCTGGGAGCCCCAGGAGAGCGGGCTGTTCACAGCCACAGCTTCCCAGGAAGCAGGAGACTGCTCTGGGACCATTTCCTGGTCCCTCTGGGAGAGCTGGGACCACAATGCTGCTCCTGCTGCTTCCCTGCCCCCAGGACTGCCAGGCTCCGGGGGGGTGAGGAGCCAAACTCATTCCCTGCTCCACAGCTGGCAGGAGAGCTTGGGAATGCCACTCAAACCTCTCATGTTGTTCGTTTTCAATGCTGTTTTCTGGTGAAATTTCCATAAGTAAGAGAAGACATACAGCAGTCTAACCTCCTCCTACAGGACACACTGACAAATTCACACTAGTACTGATAGCCCTCCCCCCTTTTTTTCTCTTAAGCTCTTTGGGTCAATCTGACCTGTTCTGCCTGGTCTGTTTTACATTTGTTTTGAATGTCGGTTTAAAGACAATTGTTAAAAACATGCATGCTTTGAGTTTGTCCACAGTTATTTCTCCCACAGTAGAGAGGCGGAGCGTTGGAAAATGCTTCCAAGCTCCCAAGGCTTGATTTTAGCTGCCTGCTAATTACCAGTCACTTGTAGGGTATAATAGAGCTGCCTGTGACCAGCCGACCTGCAGCTCCCAGGGTGTGTAATGGAGGAGGAGGTGGCACACTGAATTCCCTCCTTAGGACTCTCTGCTTTGGCAGAGAAGGGCAATATGTTGAAGCATGGTTATTGATTGAGATCACTCTGACCTGCTAGCTGAAATCCATTAAACAGAATCTTCTCTCCCCATCAACACTGTGAAGCTAAAGAGAAGGCAACGAAAAAGAAAAGGGAAAAGGAAAGGCAAGGCAAGGGGAAAGGAAAGAGGAGAGGAGAAAAGGAAAAAGAAAGGCAAGTTTTGTGTGTTTGGTTCTGCTGGTGCACCATCCTGCCTCTCTCACAGCACCAGTTCCTACTGCCAGTGCAGGTGCCTGCACGAATCCTGCTGCTTGCACTTCCAGCCTAGTGACTGCACTCTGTGTGGGTCCTGTCTTGGGGCAAAACCTCCCAAATTCAATTCATTTCATTGATGGCAGGCCTAGAAAACTCCTGCAGTAACTGCACTAGCCTGTGGAAGCCCAAGGCATGCAGCATACACCTCTACTAGGCCTGGTCCAGGGCCAGCTGCTGTGGTTAAAACAGAGCTCCTGTCTGATAAGAACATCTGATATCTCTGTAAGAATTTCCAGCCATGGAGAATCTAACATGCTTTTGCCACACAGCTGCAGTATTGGTGGTAGTTTAGATGGAACACATTGAGTATTTGTGAATACATGAATATTTGTGATAGATGTACCTTACTTTTCATCTTGTCTGTCCTTGATTTCCACCAAATGTTTCTTTATGATAGCTTTGCTTGCTGGATCAAAACCCCCACTTTTATTGAGTTTCTGTTCCCACAGAAGTATCTGTTGGTTGTGACTTAAGAAGCATTGTTACCTTGGTCACATCCTTTACTTACTTGCTCCAAGTCTTTACTATTCTTATGGCTTCTGCCATTTGCCAACACCTCCCTCACACGAGGAGCAGGTTTCCCCATGTCAGCAGCCTTGGTGCTTCAAGGAGGTGGTCAGGGACTGGTGTTTTCCACCTTCCCATGGCACAGGGTCTTGTTAGTCCTGTGTCCACTGGCCCATCCTGCCAGCTCAGCCCAGGTTGCTCCCAGTCCCATCCAACCTGCCCTTAAACACTTCCAGGGATGGGACTTCCACAGCTTCCCTGGGCAACCTGTTCCAGTGTTTCACCATCCTCATAGTGAAGAATTTCCTCCTAATGTCTAATCTGAAACTCCCCTCTTCCAGTTTTAGTCCATTACCCCATGTCCTCTCACGCCCTAGTAACAAGTCCCTCTTTGCTCACTCTCCTTTTGATTTAATAAATATGTTTTCTTACTAGATAGTTTAATTTTAAGGAAAAAAACCCACAACAAACCCACATTTAAAGCAAGCCCTGTGTGTTCTATGCAGTGTGTGTTTGGCTCCATTTACACACAGGACCTGATGGGCACCAACTATTCATCTTTGGAAGATACAGTTCAGTTTTAGTTTCTTCTTCCAAGCTGGGAGCTTTTCCAGCAGCCCTCCTGTCTCTTAAGATTCAGTGCCAAGCACAGCCACGAGATGTGGCTTCAGCCCGAGCTGGAGTCAGCCCTGGTGCCTCCTGGAATCCTGAATTCCTGCAGTGCTGTTGGGAAATGTGGGAGCAGCCTCTGCCTCCTCCACCTGTGCCAAGAGGAAAAACCAAGTGTGACTCCCTGGGGAGAGGGGCTGGGTGCTCTGCCCCCCCCATGGGTCATGGCTAAAGGATCTCACACCACCCTGCAGCTCTATTTTCCTGATGCTTTATCTTATTTTTATGACTCTTTTCCCCTCCTCTTTTACAGAGCAGCCTGTCTTAATTGCTCGTACAGTAGATCATCCAAGTACATTACTTAAAGATCAACATTTTGAATTGATTTACAAAGCTGCACTTTAACACGACATTTTTATGTTCTGCTTCTTATTTTTCTAATTACAGCTGAAAGGAAATTTGAGATAAGTATGTAATGAAGGAGCCAAAACCCCAAGGACAAATGGTTTGATGTTCTATTCTCCGCTTGAATTAAATGAAGGGCTTTTTTTTCCCCCCTCTAATTAATTAGGGTGTTTTGACTCTGTACAGGATGAAAGCTGCAGCCTGCCAGCCTGTCAGACAGGTGCCAGGTTAGGTGAACACTGACTGTCAGAGAATTTTGAAGTCATGCATCTGAAGCTCCTGCTGTATCTTGCTGCCAGATGAGCATCTGTAATCAAGAGCCAGGTGCACAGGAGAGACACCTCGTTGTGGTGACATGGGCACAGTTGTCAGCTGCTGACAGTCCCAGCCCCACTCTGCTGATGTTACTCTTGAAGCTGGCAGACCAAGGGCAGCCCTGCTTGTCTTCTCCTTGTTGGTGGGCTAGCTTTCCAAATGTGTTTTCCAGAATGTATTTGCAGAGTAATGACCCGCCTGGGAGAGCCTGGTTATAGGGCAGCAGGTGATGCAGAAGCCCTGGGCAGGGAGAAGGTTTTTGTCTTGGTTGCATCCTGCTTCCACTCTGGTCTGGGATGGGACAATCCCACTTGAGCACCCATGTGCAATGGCTTTTTTCCCAGGAATATGACCTTCTACTGAGTTTATTTGCTTGAGTTGCTTCCCCATTTAATTCCATGTGAGTAGTTGTATGAATGGAGTCACCTCTTTTCTCCAGCTTCTTCCTCTTTGTTTCTAAGTGGAGGTTAATGTGAGACTCATCTCAGCTGAGGATGGAAATGATGCTTCTTTTTTTTCCATGGAAGATTAATGAGCAAATGGATTTCCATGTGCAGTGTGTGCTCCCTTTTGTTATTAGGTGAGGTCTGGGATGCTGGGCACTCTTTGGGTGGCAGGCACTGCAGGACCAGCTGCTGCTTGTATCAGTTTCCCTTTCCCCCTGAATATAAGTGATGGAGCTGAAGGCCAAGAAGCCTCAAGCTTTTTAATTGAAGTCTCACACTAAAATGTGTCATTTCCACAGCCCGCAAGCTGAAGAAGCTGGGTAACCTGAAGACACAAGATGACATGGATGCAGCCAGTTCATCCAGCCCCATTGAGGAGCAGGCCCCCAAGATGGTGATGACACGCATTGATGGGTATGAGTGCCAGCCCATCTTCCTCAACGTTCTGGAGGCCATTGAGCCTGGCATAGTGTGTGCTGGCCATGACAACAGCCAGCCAGACTCCTTCTCCAACCTGCTGAGCAGCCTGAATGAGCTCGGGGAGAGGCAGCTGGTCTATGTGGTCAAATGGGCAAAGGCCTTGCCAGGTGAGAAAGAAGCCTAACAAATCCCATTCCTTCCCTGCATGTTTCTAAAGCCCCCTGCTTGCATTTCCTGGGGTGGGTTCAAAGGAGGAGCTCTGCAGCTGGTGTCCCATCATCACACAGTTCCTGGGGGAGCATCTTTGTGGGGTTGTGTCCTGTCTCCTCAAAGGAGGCTGCAGCAGCATGAAGTTTGTCTCCTTTGAGTGACTGGTTGACTAAGGTGAGTAAGGGGAGACAGAGTATGTAGAATCTGGTGCTTTTGGGTCTGTCCCCACTGATAGCCCCTGACACCCAGTGTGGTGTCAGCACATGGCTGCTTCCTCGGGTGGGAAGGGCTGTTGCTGCTCAGGGCTTCAGGGTCTTGCTCTTCTCCTGCTCACCCTCCTGGGTTTCTTTTTGTATTTCATGAGCCAATTTATTGTAAAACAGCAAAAGAGAGATACAGAATTCCAAAGGACTTTCTCCTGGCAGTCAGGTTGCTCATGGGTGACAGGCTGCTGGAGTATATTAGCCATGATATGGGAGTACATGAGACCTAGGCAGTTTCCAAGTGGTGACAGTTATGAGGTGGTGTGAATGGGAACATCCTGCTGAGCGTGTCTTTCACTGGATACACTCCCTGGTCCTGAGTGCAGAGGTTACTGGTCTGTAACTCACTGCCCATTGCATGTTGTAAACCTGCCAGCTCAATGAGTGAATTACAGAAGACTGAGCTCACCCAGGGTACACCAGGGTCCTGTTCCTCTGGCCCTGTTCCTTGGGAAATGCCATGGAAAAGCGGGATCATACTCTTTATGTGCAGAGTGATATGACTAAAGGAGGAAACAGAAGCAAAATAAATTTGCTAATATGCACTGAAACCAGGTGATGACATGTGGTCAGACATTTGCCATTCCCAGAAATTCAGCAGTCCCCCTGGAAGTGTCCTGACCAGTGGTCCAGGAGCAGTGTCAGCCTGAGTATGCTTACATGCAGGGTAGCCCATTCTAGTTCTTCTATTCTTGAGTCAGAAAAGGTTCACCTAGCCTGGGAAATCAGGGACACATCATGCTTCCTATTCTGGCTTATCTACATCAGAGATCAAGATTTCTTCAGCAAAGTACATAGAGACACCACCAAACTGGGCCAGCAATCCAGGGGCTGAGGCTGTAAAACTGGCAGTGCTGATGGACAGGGAGACTGCTCTGAGGAACATTTCTGATCACAACCACCCCCTCACCAAAGGTTTTCCTTTTTCCTGCACTGTGATGCACCCCACGGTGCGTGGCTGCACAGGGACACCCATGTGCCAGCAATGGCATCTGGGCACAATTAATGGTCATCTTCTTATGTCTTCTTATGTCACTGCTCTCTGGGCAGTTCCAGCAGAGCTGAGCCCCAGGGGATCCCTGGCAGGTCCAGCTGCCGTGCTCAGGCACACTGCAGGGGATGCTGCCCTCCCCACTCTGGAGCATCCCCATCCCCACCACCAGAGACAAAGCCCCTTTGTTTGTTCTCCCCAGCTTTCTCAAGCAACTCCCTGACATGTGCCAACGCTGGGCTTCAACAATGATAACCACAAATTCACCACTTAGTCATTCTCCTGATGTGTTCCAGGGAAGGAAGAAACAACAGCAGCTCTCTGGCTGTTCTGCTGCTCTGGGCAGTGGTGGTGCAGCCCCTTGGCTCCCAGTGGGGCTCATCCAGCCCTGGCTCTGCTCCCCACAGTGCTCCCCAGGGAGCTGTGCCCAGGCTGCCCCCCCTGCACACACTGCAGCCCTCTCACTCTTTGGGTAGAAGTAACTTGCTATCTGTAATCTGTTTAAATTATGTTTTGGTTAATAAAGCAGAAGTGCTTCCAGTTCCCAGGTCTGCAGGTTGGCTGGGCAGCTCAGTGGGCTCGGGGCAATGCAGGCAAATGCATGCAGGGGAGAAGGAAAGGTACCAAAAAACAAGCCATTGAAACCAGTGGGATGCAGTTATTACCAAAACAGAAAGATCCCCATGCAGCCTGTTGGGAGGCTGGAGGCTGTTTGGTGGATGTGGCTGCTGGTGCAGTGGGAGCAGCTGGGTGGGCTGGGGCATTAGGAGGAACCTCCTTGCCCAAGGCTGGCAGGTCTCAGCAGGTGGTGGTGCTGGGCAAACCTTGCTGGTCCCCTGTGCACAGCCCAGCCCACCCCTCAACTGCCTGCTGGGGGGGCTGCAGGAGCTCCCCAGAATGGATGGAGATGTTCTTCCCTCGTCCCTGCTTCCCATTAATGCAGCAGATCTGGCACAGGCATTAGCTTAACTCAGCAGAAGCAGCCCTGTGTGTCAGTTAAGGTGTATCTCCATGTAAAGCGGCCAAGGTTTTTTTTTTTCCAGTGACTGCTGCTTGTGGAGAAGGGGGGAACTTTAAAGTAGAAAGAGTGGGGATCTTTAAAGGGCCCTTCCAACCCAAAGCACTTTATCATGATGATGAACTTGCACCTGTAATAGAGGTAGCCTCAGCCTGCTAGTAGTGCCAATAGGTTAATGTTGGTTAATAGATGATTATTAACCTTGCATCCTTCATGGACCATCACCTGTACACTTAGAGTGATTAGTATGCAGCAGGATGTTGCTGCACTTCTTCCAGTGAGGTTTCAGTGATATCCTGGGAACTAGACAGGATCAGGTAGGAGTATTTTGAAATACTTGCCTGCAGGAACAATATTGGCTGCTGCCCAGTGGGGAGAAAGTGATGTATGACCCTTTAGACACTATGCAGTTTAAATTCTGCGTGGGAGAAGGTAGAACCAAACTGTGGTTTCCCTGGAAAGGAAAGAGTAAAGAACCACAGCCTGCCAGGAAAGCTGCTGAAACACAGAATTAAAAGTCTGATTAAATCCATAAAACTTGTCCACTTCAAGTTAGTGGAAGGACTATGTGTTTTTCCTTTTCCATATGCATAAATTCAGTAAAGGTGATACAGTTAATTTAGAGCAGCACTCTGACACATTAACTTAAAGATCATTTATCTGGCATCAAATGGAAAACCTTCAGTTCATTTTTGAAGCTGTTAGGAAATCAGTGTCCAGGGCAGGGCTGCTGCAGAGTGGAGCTGAGGGGATGGGCAGGCTGATGGACACCCTTCATTTGGCCGCAGGTCAGTGCAGATGCCGTCAGGTGAAATACTCCCCCTTGGGCCATAGAGATGGATCTGTTCACTGGAGCTACTGTAAAATCTCTGTGTGCTCATCAGTAGCTGGGGCTTTGTGGGTGTTCCAGGCCATTGCTGGCTTGCTTTTCTCTTTAAATCTACTGCCTGGCAATGTATCTAACTCACCCTTTAGCTGGAAGGATACAATTAATTGTGCATCTTTTTCCATTCTCTGGACAATAAAATTTCCAGATATAAAAATGAGTGTTTATATTAGAAATGTTACTTTAGGGTGATCTGGGAGGTGTTCAGCTGCTGATCTCTTAGGAAGATAGAATTCAGGCACAGCAGTGCATCAAGAGAGAAGATGGAGGATTTTTTTCAAAACTATGCTGCTTTACCATTATTCACAGAAAAAAGGTTATGCACTGATCTTTTTCAAGTCCTCAGTAAATTTAATTTTCCTTTTGCTGTGGTTTCTCTCTGTAGAAGGTGTCTTCATTTGGGTCTCTTCAAACTACTCCAATACTAAAAAGTTAAAAATACATTGTGGAATTAGGTGGGTGTTTGTTTTCTTTTACAGTGGTTTTGGCCATACATCAGCAAAGATGCCTGGAGCAGAGAGGTTTCCAAGAAAAAAAAGGCATCTGGTTTTGGAAAATCAGTTTGGTTTCAAGACATATTGGCTCAGAAATTGGAGGCAGTGATTCCTCTTAGAAAAGTTGGCCACTGTGTTTCTAGAAGTTGGTTTTGTGGACAAGCAGAAAGCAAACTTTAGGTCCTGTAACAACAAAAGTGTTGTGTGGAAATACCTTTCCTTAAGCACTGATAAAGCTTGCACAAGAATTTTTTTTTAAGTTAACATAATTACAAGGTAATGAACTAGGGCACCAGTATGCCTCTTGCAGCAAAGATTGGGAGCAACAAATGCTTCCAGAAATGTATTGGAATGCTCAGGGACTAAGGGAACCCCAGTCCTGGATGAGAATTTGGGTGCTGGTTTTGCTTGCGCACTGGCAGCATCTCCATGGGATGAGCAGGGTGACGAGTCACTGGGAATGGCTTTACTAGGTAGTGAATTCACCTCTGACCAAATTTACTGATAAATAGGATTCTATAGCATGCAGAGCTGTAATTAAATATGAAAATCTAACCTAGGCAGGTCGTGGAGATGAGTGTGACTGATTTTACCAAGCCCTTGAGCTGCCTAGGTGCCTTGTCTGTCCCCGTGTGCTGGTGACACGTTTTTCTCTGGCTGCCAGAAGGTTCCTGTTCCATGGGAGGCTGGGAACTCCCAGAGGAACAGCACCTCTTCCCTTACTGTGGGGCATTATTTGCATGCAAGCTTCAGTTTTTCATCCAGTGACATGCAAGCTGAAAGTGCAAACAGAAAGCAAGTTTAATCAGCAATAAAACAGGGCTTGTGCTCATTTGACAGCTTCCCAAGCAAGAGGCAGACACTTGCCTCAATGCATTATAATTATACACTGGAGATGTCAGAATTCCTTTAGTGTTTGACTAAAATAACATAAGATGTTCTTGAAACCAGGTTGCATCTGACTGCTTACAGGTGTCGGGGGAAAAGCACAATGTTGGAGGTGGTGTTTGTGCAGGTGTTGGAAAACAAGCCTGCGATTTAACTGCAAGCTGCATTCTGGGAATACTGATTTGATTTGAATGTAATTAATATTTCTGTTTAGCTTGTGGTTCAGCAAAAGTTTTCATATTCATTTTCATGGTCATTAGATAAATGCACTGTGTATTTGACAGAGAAACCAAAGGAGTCTGTTGACCATGCAATGAGGCCTCAGGTTTGCTTCCTGGCTCTGGGCATCATACATTCAAGTCCATTTACTTACATTTAGTGAAGTCCTAAGGGGGTGAAAAATAATGACAGTTTTTCAGCTTGTTTCCTTGAGTGCCAGAATTTCACCAAAGGAGGTAATTGGTTAATGAGGGCTGGTTTCTGCCTGAGTGCCTGGAGAACGTGATCCAGTTAATTGTGTTGCCACTGGGCGCCCGCTGCCCTGCAGCTGATTGATTCATTCATGTCAACAGAACAGGGCAAACAAATCCTCCTCGGCTCTTTATTGGGCTCATTTTTGACAAGCTGTCTGACATGGTAATTGGGAGTGTTTGGGAGCAGAGGCTCTGGGGGTCACGCTGTGCCTGCAGAGCCTGGTTCCACCCGCTGGGCTGGGGCGTCTGGTGCCAGCAAGCAGGGCTGGGACAGGGCAAGCCTGGGCTGGGGCACCTGGACCTGCCCAGCACCTGTAGTCAAATAGACTTCCAAAGGGGTTTAGGAAGCCACTGAATCCCATCTTGCTGTCTTTTTCTCCAGTCTGTTGCAGATTGATACTTGTTCACCTCATCACCTCTTCAAATACCATTTGTGAAGAACTTCAAGACTCTTTGGGGGAAAATCATAGAATCATAAAATGGTTTGGGTTGGAAGGGACCTTAAAGATCATGTAGATCCAACCCCCCTGCATGGGCAGGGACACCTGCCACCAGACCAGGTTGCTCAGAGCCTCATCCAACCTGGCCTTGAACACTTCCAGGGATGGGGCAGCCACAGCTTCCCTGGGCAACCTGGGCCAGAGTCTCACTGCCCTCATAGTGAAGAATTTCCTCCCAATGTCTAATCTACACCTTCCCTCTAAATATGTGGTTTTTTACCACTTGTCACTGTCTTCCTTGAAACACTTTGCTGCTTGTGAGTTTCCTTATCTCTTCCGTGTGTCTGGAGATCCCCATTCTCCCCTTCCAGTTCTGCTTTTGAGCTTTGGCTGTTTCTGCTTGTCCATGAGGGGGGGAGCACCAGGCCACTGATGCTGCAGTTCTGTCTCCCCACTGCATCTGTGTGTCGTGGGGCAAGCTGAGGTTGGGCTGTGGACCACCTTATCCTAACAGAAATGCTGTGGGAGAGCCAGTGCCTGGAGGAAAACACTCCTGGTAGCTGCAGGATACCAACATGGATTTGTGCCATCCCTTTCTCTTTTTTTTGCTAGGATTTCGCAACCTGCACGTGGATGATCAGATGTCAATTATCCAGTACTCTTGGATGGGTCTCATGGTTTTTGCCATGGGCTGGAGATCTTTCACCAACGTCAATTCCAGGATGCTTTACTTCGCTCCAGATTTGGTCTTTAATGAGTAAGTGTGAAATGACAACCATCTAATGTTGTGCTGTGTCTGGGTCAGACTAGCTGAGAGGTGAGAACAAGACAAGGACTTTGCTTCCCTGTCTGCTTCTGAAATGTGCAACTCGAGTAATAATGTTCTCAGAGCAGACCAACGAGGCATGGGAGGGCCCTGCTTTTCTTCTCTAATTGCTCTGATCTAATTGCAGTGATCTCCAGGAGCAGGAGAGCTATGGTGTTTCTCTTGGTCCTTTTACCCTTTCGCTCAGCTAGGCAGGGTTCAGCCTCCCTCAGGGCAGCAACAGGTGCTGGTACTGGGTGTGAAGGGCTGGTCCATGCAGACCTGCCTTCTGTCTGAGGGGTCTGAGTTCCTGTTCTCAGCTGGAGCAAGCAGAAACAGAAATATTCATTGTGAGTTTCTGATGGGTTCCCTCTGTAGTAGCATCAGCTCAGAGACAGGGCAGGTTTGTTGACACTAAGGCAGAAGAGCTCAAAACCAATAACTAAGCACAGCAGCAAGCAAATCCACACCTCTCTGAGAGATGCCAGCTCAGCTTCGTGTCCCTGTGGGAGAGCCAGCAGTGGGGACTCACTGCAGGGTGTGCAGGAAGGGCAGCAGAGCCCAGGCAGTCACCCGTGTCCAGACAAAGAGGATTGCACACAGGAGTTCTGGAAAACATTCTTCTCCCACACAGCAGCGTCCCCTGAGGCAGAGCTGCAGGGATGAGGCAGGTGGGGCTGGGGGGGCTGGGGCAGAGCGTGTCCCCCAGGGGCACTGCTGGCCTGGCCCTGCCACTCCTTCCGTGTCTGGTCCTGCCAGGTACCGGATGCACAAATCCAGGATGTACAGCCAGTGTGTCAGGATGCGGCACCTCTCTCAGGAGTTCGGGTGGCTCCAGATCACTCCTCAGGAGTTCCTCTGCATGAAGGCTCTGCTCTTCTTCAGTATTAGTAAGTACTGGCAGCCTTTTCCCAGCAGGACTTCAGTTGCTCTGGGTTTTATCATCCTGTGCATGTGTTCCTGTTCCCCGAGCAATGGCTTGGAATGTTCTCTCTGCTTCACCCTGAGCTGCCAGGCTGAGAGGGCACCAGCCCTGCAGCCAGCCCACCCCGCTCTGCAGCTGCTGCAGGAGCCTGCTTCTCAGTCTCACTGCCCTCGTTGTGGGGGCCTCTGAGCATCTGCTGCTGGGGGGGAAAACAGTGCTGCAGCTGGGTCCCCTGCCTGCCTTTTCTAACCAGTGCTGAACAAGGCTGCTCGGGTTGGAATCTGACAGGCCCTCAGAGTGAGGCCATAGCAGAAGCAGAGCTGATGGGCAGATCTTCCCTCGCAGGTCTGCACTGACCCTTCTTCAGCCTTCTTCTTCCTCTTTTGTTCTCTTCTCTGGGCAACTCTTACTGTTTCCTTCCCATGTTCCATCCAGTTCCAGTGGATGGCCTGAAGAACCAGAAGCTCTTTGATGAGCTTCGAATGAATTACATTAAGGAACTTGACCGGATCATCGCTTGCAAGAGGAAGAACCCGACCTCCTGCTCCCGGCGATTTTACCAGCTCACCAAAGTCCTGGACTCTGTGCATCCTGTAAGTGAAATGTCTAGCTATACACATAAGAAACAAAATAAGAAAGAAGCTGTTTACAAGGAGAATTCACTGGCACAACCTCCGAAGGGTGGTGATAGTCCTCATCCCTGGAGGTTTCCAAGATGGGTGTTAGGTCATCTTGCCCAGGCTCCCTTGACCAAGGAGGGCTGGACCAGGTGACCTTTCTAGGTCCCTTCAGTCTTGGGTTGTTCAATGATTCTGTGATTCTTTGCAGTTTGCTTTTTACCTCTTGGCACACCTTTCCAAGAACAGGTGTTCTTTTCCAAGAACACTCTTGTGCTTCGGTTTCTGGGCGTCCTTCTTTACCAATTGTAGATGGTGCTTTTCCACTGCCAGCCTAGCAGAACAGCTGAAAATCTCAGTGCCCCCAGTGAATCTTTTCAGACAACAGCAGTGAAAACAAATTTCTTCATTTATGACTTCTGATCTTTTGTTGTGCTGGTGAAAGGTGCACTAGACCTTTCCTCTTGCCTGGGGCTCAGCTCCATGCCTGTACAATTATATGTCGACAAGCAAAAAGTAATTCTTAATAGGTGAAGTCAGCAGCATCAGCCCACAGCGAGACAAATTTCTGTAGGAGTAAGAAAATACCCTTTTTATAGAACCCAGTTTTCCTGAGACTGGGTAGTGTCTGGGTGTGAAGGGCCATGGCAAAATATGCTGTGTGCTCCCAGCCTGGGTGGTTCCCTGGCTCCCCCTCGGGACACATACCTGCCTCTGGGAACTGCAGGCAGGGCATTGGTGGCTGGAGAGCAAAGCAGGTCCTGTGACAGCAAGGTCCAGCCCTGACCTCCTGTGCCTGCTGACACCTTCCCAGAGCAATCGCCAGGGACTTCTCACCTAACAAACTTTCTTCCTTCCCCAGATTGCCAAGGATCTGCATCAGTTTACATTTGACCTTTTAATTAAGGCACATATGGTGAGTGTGGACTACCCTGAAATGATGGCTGAGATCATCTCTGTGCAGGTTCCCAAGATCCTGTCTGGAAAAGTGAAGCCTATTTACTTCCACGCACAGTGATCTCCTGGAGGGAAGTCCCAGTGCTGCCCACCCTCATTTCAGCTGTCTCCTGCCTGTTATTTCTGCACTACTGTACTGCAGTGCCTTGAGGAATCCCCTCCACAGAGGCAGGGTGCCAAGAAGACAGTAACAGACCTGCTGGGATTCCTGAGATTTCTATTTTTCCTGAGGTACCTCTGAGCTGAACTTCCAGCTACAGCTTCTGCCCAGATCTGGCTCACTGTGCTGGGACAGGAGGTGGTGGCAGTGGCACCGTGTCCACACTCTCTTCTTTGTGTGTTTGAGTGGCCCAGGGCCACGGGAGGTCAGGAGAAATGGCAGCAGTTGTTGGGTTTGGGTGTGCGTTAAAAATAGAACAAGATAAGAAGCAGATTGAACCTAGAAGTTTGGGTGTGGATTACCTTACTAGCCTCCTTTGGGATTTCTTATTTGCATTATGGTGCTGGAAAGCAGATGAGTTAAAATATTGCAGCAGAGAAAGAGAGAAGAGTTGGGGGATGAGATGGTTTTGCAGCCTGATGGGTTTGCTGGAGCTGCTGCTGGGTCAGGGAGCTGTGGGGGCTGCTCGTGGCTGCAGCTCCCGGGGTGTCAGCAAAGGGCCTGGAGGAGAAGGTGACTTTGGGAAACCCCCAGAGATGGCAGATGTTTACTGTGTTCCACCTGGGATGCTGTTCCTATGGCTGGTGAAGCTGGACCTGGGCCTGCCTTGCAGATGCCTGGTGCTCAGCAGTCACCTTCCCACCCTGGGCAGCTGCTGCTCCCCCACACACAGCCAGACCCCCTCTTCAAGTGCCTGGCTTCCTCACAGCTCCTCACACCTCACGCTCTCCCCTCCAGCCCCTCACCAGCTCTGCTCCTGCTGGGTATTCACAGACCCCAGTTTTCCACTATGCTACTTCCCGTTTTGTCCCAGCTGTTTGATGCCAGCAGCCCAGAGTCCCAGGAGCAAAGGATCAGGGCCAGGACCTGAGGGACCTGCAAGGCCAGGGGGCTGCAGTTCCTGCTGGACTTTAGGAGGTGGCTGTGGGAAGGAACTGGGGCTGCTTTGGTGCTTCAGGGGCTGCAAAGGAAACCCTGAGGAGATCCCCTGCCCTTCCAGCAGTGCACACAGCTCCTGCTGATTGCAGTGGTTGATTGCACTTGGGGAGGACGCTGTCCCTCCTGCACTATCTCACACACCATCCCTCAGCCATGGTCCCTTATACATCACTCACACCCCATCCCTTGTGCCTCATCCCTCACGTGTTCCTCATGTCCCGCTTGTCCCCAGCAGCTCTGTATGGCACAGTGGTGGCACAGCCAGTTGCAGCTCTGCTGCAGGGATGAATAAAGGCTCCCGTGGGTACTGGGTCGCCAGCCAACAACCCCAGAAAAGGCTGATGGAGCTTGAGGTGCCAGTGACTCCTACAGCTGGGAATCTCTGAGGAGGGCAGGCTTGGTTGGTCAGGCACAAATGCCCTGTTTTATACCTCAGGTTCAGGACACATTGGCTCCCTCTATGTCCATAGTCAAATTTGTTTCTTTGATGGCTCCACTCCCCACAAAGTGGCCCAGCCCATGTTGCCCACAACATTCTGGTCCCCCCTTCCCACCAAACCCTCCTGCTCAGACCTGGCCAGGGCAGGTGAACCAGGTCAGGCACGTGCCTTGTGTCGTGCCCTGTCCCAGTGTGGTACCAGCTGCTCGTGCTTGTTGGGTGGCTCCAACATTCAAGGCACTGGGGTTCAGGCCAGTTGGTTGCCACGTGTGTGTCATGTAGAAACAGCACCAATGCTTCTGCTGCCCAGGCCCTTCAGCAGCTGCCATCACTCACAGCTCTGCCAGCAAGTGCCCTCATGGTACCTCTGGGTTCTTTGCAAACCCTCAGCAAGAACAGAACAATTTTTCTGATCCTTCTCTGTCATGCAATGAGATTTTCATTAAGGGAAGGAGTAGGGGAAAAAAAAAACAACAACACAAAACTGTAGCAGTGGAGGAGCTCTCTTTACAGTTATTTGCAATGGGGTTTGCTCCTCTACTAGATACTGCCCTGGTCATGCTCTTCCTCCTGAAATCCCTTCATGCAGGTGGCACCAGAATCTGTAGGTGACCTGCCTGAACACCAGCCAGCAGGATGGGATTCTCAGTAGCTTTTCATATTTTAGAGGGCTGCAAGTGTTTTAAATGTTGTTATGATCTTCTAGTATTTGCAAATGAACCAGTGAAAAAAGTCCTGCTGGTGCAGTTCTCTCTTCTTGAACATGTTCTGGCTGCTAAGCAGAAGAATACCATGAGCAACTGGGTTGATAATGATCCCCCTCATCGACAGGAGGGTGTTTGTGAGCAATCTGAGCAGCTACTCTGGAGAGCTTTACGTTTTGCACAAGTTCATGTCAGTGAAGTTTTCATTAGTTAATGAGAGTGGAGATATTCTGCTGCTTACTTTTCTGCTGGGAGGTTGGGGAAAAAGCAAACTTAACAGGGATTTGCACACACTGACATGCTGGTGAAAGTATAGAGCAGATGAAAAATGGTTTAGAAGGCGGTACTGCTGATGTTTCACCTGCCAGATGTGTGCAGCTCACCTGTACAATGCTGCTGCCACCACAAATGCTCCCAGAGGGTGCAGGAGCTCTGGTGAAGCCCCCTGGTCCCTGTGCAGGGGGCCCTGAGCTGCCTTCCTCCCCAGAGACTGCAGAACCCCAGGCACTGGGGTTGTGGGCTCTGTCCCTTCAGCATCTAATTAAACTTCTGCAACTTTTGTATTCAAAGGTTGACTTTTAATGATACTATTAGAGGGATGAGTGGAGGAGGTGGGAACCAATAGCACCTGTGTCTGTATTTTCTGGGGGAGTTAATGCTGTTTCTTTCTTTATTTTCTTGGGCTGCTGCAGGAACTGCAGAAAAAAAAAATATGCTTAAGATATACCAAAGTGCAGGTCCTGCCATGTATCTTTGTACTTTGTGTTTTCTACTGCGTTTTCTTGTCTATTTTTGCTTTAATAAAGCAAAGAGAATTTCACCAATCTTCACCATCACATAGAAGCTGCCCCTGAGGATTTCCTCAGGATGGGTGAGCACTGGGAGAGGGACCCCCTTGGTGTCACCATTCCCACACTGGGCAAAAGGTCCTTTGTGCCTGGCTTAGGGACAATGGAGCCAAGACAGGGCTGAGAAGATGGCACCAAGAGGGTGGTACCAAGAGCGTGGTGCCATGCACAGGCAGGTGACTGCCAGGGGTCAGCCCTCCAGGGCCAATGTGGTGCCCACCTCCTTCCCACCCTGCACTGCTCTGCTCCAGCCCACACAGTGTCACTTGGTCCTTGCTGTGGTCCCTAGGGATGCTGAGGGAGTGCCTCTGGTGTCATCTGCCTCCCACTGGGCAGAGTTGGCCTCCCTTGCCAGGTCACCTGCCAGCACAGGCTGTCCTGCAGCTCCCTGCAGCTGCTGCCCCACTTGCTGATCTCTCTCCCTAGGTGGTTCAGTCCCATAATATATGTTAAACATATAAATATAAACATATATATATAAAGGCATGCCCTATTTTGTATTGCTAAAGATACCTATTTAATGCTCTAAGAGCTTGTTTTCTGATTGCCCACTGATTGCAAATAAATATTCTTCAGAAGAGGAGTCAGTCTGTGCCAATATTAATGGAAACTATTAATTAACAGTTTTTTCTGGTTAGGTACTGTCCAGTTGTCAAAGGTCCATCCTTTCATGGTATGAAAGGAGCATACACTGGCCTAGTGTTGGTATCTGCTTCTCCAGCTTTCTTATAGCTGGCTCTGGTTAGACAGGGGTAGTATTTGCACTTGGGGGACAACAGAGTGTCCTTTATTTCTGCCCTCTTTGACTGCACAGAGCATCCTTGCACTTTAGGGCAGAATCCTGGAATTACAGCGTGATGGCACTTCTCTGGCTGTTTCAAAGGAGACTTTCAGAGGCACAGAAATCCTTTCTTGTACCAGAAGGACTGGGCAAGCCACGCTCTGCACGGTCACATCCTGGTGCCCACAGTGCAGTGATGCTGCATCTGGGAACCAGCGCCGTGCCCCTGTGGGAGGGGACAGGCAGTGGGGACACGGCTGGGATGGCACTTGGGACCCTGGGATAGTGGGGGTGGAAACCTGCCCCCTGCTGCCAGGCAGCACCGGGGGACTTGTGCTCATTCCTTTCTGACACAGCAGTGGAACCTGCACTTGTGATTGATTCAGAAGGTAAATATCTGCACCACACATCAAACCCCAGCAAAGTTATTATAAGCTACTCTCTGTGCCAGATATTTTGTGTTCTGTGGCAATTCAATGCTGGTTTTATTTGTTAAGATATCTCTGTAATAAAAAGAGTTCTCTATATTGATAGATTTTATTTTCTTTGTAATAAGCCAAAAAAGCTCATTGCTGGTGCCTTTTTGCCTGGGGAGGACTCCCAGCCCATAGCTGTAATAATGGAAGTAACAAAGTGCAGTGTCTGCAATTGCTTCTTTCACCACAGCTGAGTAAAGTTATGAAGCAAATGCTGCAGGAGAACCAACAGGAGAACAAGGAGCCCACAGAATGGGCAGAAAGACTTTCAGGTACAGGTTATTTCCTGGGGCCTGGTTGCAAGGAGAAGGTGAAGCTTTTGGCTTCTTGTGCCTGCCATGGAAAAGCCTTTGCCTCGTCTCTGTGGGACTTCACTGCTGGGCCTCCAGCCTTGACTTCCTGCAGGACGTGCAGGGAGGTTGGAGCTCACACCCCATTTTATTACAGTTGCAACACTGATTTTTTTCAGTCACCTTTCAGAAATGACAGTGTTTTCCCCAAAGTAACAGCGTCTGAGGCCAAATTCTGCTTCTAGGGAAGGACATCAGTCAGATTGTTGCCACTGCTCTTTTTTGTCACAATTGGAACTGAGTTCCTTGACCAAGGAAAACAGACCCACGATGGTAGGATGTCATGGAGGTGAGAGCAGTGACAGCTGCTGCCTTGGCCAGCAGTGGGGGCTGCCCAGGGGACACCCGTGCCTCAGGAGTCACTGCAGGAGACTGAAGGATGTCTGTTCCCAGAACCAAAAAGAGGAGCCTGTCTGGCATCCAGGGTAAAGACAAACCC